TTTATCAAAAATATCAGCGATTAAACCGTTTAAAATCAGTTTAATTTGATAATAACCGCATTATATCACAACTTACCTTGATTTTGTTAAAGATTTTGATTGATAGTCTACGGTATGTAGAATTAATAGTAAAATATGCTTTTTCTGATGATTAATGAGGCTTATATTTATAAAAATTACAAGCTAATTGTTATGATGATTTTGGCAAACAAATTATTATCGTAGCTTAAATTAAACAACGAATTGACAAGCATAAACTGAAAACTGTGCTAGAATACGGTTTTAATTTAGCATGTAGTTTAACCAGCAGTCTTATTTTTTCTTGTTCTGTGGTCATATCGCATGAAAAGAATTTTTGACGCGAATCAGTAAGAGTAGTAGGTATGTCGTCTGTTTCTTTTATTGTATTTTTATTATTTCACTATAAGATCTGCTTCGTAAAAATGCTATTATTTTATGTGAGTACAGTAATACAATATATAATTCAATGAAATAATTTGATGATGCGATGCAGAGTTTGTACGTAAGAAAAATGTTCTCTGAATTTACAGCGGGAACCCGGGAACTGCGGAAAACGAGCCTGTATAGAACTATATGCTTTTGTTTTAACAGAAAATACAGACATTCTCCTTGAATCGATAGTAATCATTTGCTGTACTATTAGATAAAGTTTTCAATATCATGGTTGCCTTTATTGTTTGACAGGTAATTTCCTCAAAAGCATCCATACACGTCCTGCTTGGCAGTCTTTTCTGCTGTCGCTACATATGATGGCTGCATATACAGCGACCACCTACCACCAAGCAGGATGTGTGTCGTTACTCGTGTATAGGAAGACTGCCAGACGAGATGGTGAACAGGCCCTTTACTTTACGCGTAGACTAAATAATGAATCTTACCAATAGGGATGATGACTGGGTAAAAAAAATGCAATTCTATTTAGTCCTTCAGTCAGATAATAGAAAAATATTAGATACGTATTTTTTTTTACTTCAATTTAACAAGAAATAGCTTAGATAACAGGCACAGTGGGGGCTCGCTACGTCACGGTTGAGTAGAAAACGTACCCTAACGTGACGTCATGCGAAATTTCAACTCCATGTGACGCCGTAATTTAATGATTACGAAAAAAATAAAAAAATTACGTGTTTAATATTTTTTAATACTTTACCTGACGGACAAACAAACAAAAATTAGTCATCATCCCTATTGTTATAGGTATGAAAGTTAAGATATTGTTACTTTACATGATAAAACGACGTTATTTGATAAAAAATCGTAAATATGGTTTGTAGTCTTTTTAATTATTTCTTTGTTAATTAATATATAGTTTAAACGAAGTCGCTTTCTGTCAGTCTATCCTTAAGTATGCTTAGATCTTTAAAAAAACTACGCAATGGATTTTGATGTGTTTTTTTTAAACAGATTGGGTGATTCAAGAGGGAGGTTTTTCTATTTATTAATTAGTAAATACATCATTTTGTAGCCACACAAGAAAGTAAAGGGTAGTTTAAAAATGTGATGGATCCTTATCATTTATCTGTGACCGATCCTAGTCCCTTCAAAGAATTTCGATCTCGGGATTTGGACCTCAGGGATTCAATCTTTGAAATTGGGTCGCGTAGAAACTTTCTAAAAGCATCCTTTTCCGGGTTCGGGTGTTGCTATTGATTTAGAAACAGATTTGTTTTTGTTTGTAACTTCCACGGCTGGTTCTCGCTGATGCTTAGTATATTGATCATTTATATAATAGGAAGCCACAACAAATATAAAGGATGATGATAAATACTAAAACGACTTACACTGATAATATTTCCTTTTTTTAACTAACATGTCGTTGCTTATAAAGAAGAACAATATCAAACGATAGTTAAACTATACCAATATATATAATTTATATAAACATTATTTCAATCTGTGTCCACGCAGAGCCCGTAAAGTTCACAACTCGCATTCAACATTGAAATTGTCGGCATTAATAAAACTTTTGGTATTCACGGGGGCGGTGGTGATTCGCACCAGTGAATTCTGCGTTCATAAGTTCTACGGATAATCGGTGTTATTTATCAAGTTTTTTTTGTAATACGCTAGTTAGTATGCGCAGCTTTCTTAATATATGGGGTAGATTTCGATGAGAGAAAATAATAATTTAGTTTATAGCCGAAAACGACATTTTGAAGAATCAAATAATAAATTACAAAATAGGAGACATACATGTGTCTACTACGAGTATATATCAGGGTCTTAATTATTCGTCATTTGGTTCCCTTTATTCATTCATTTATTTTAGGTCGTGGCAATGTGTGTTCTCTTTCCATACTTCTCGATGTATATAGCCTATACATATAAACGTTTATTTCACTTAAGTATTGTATTTTATTTTAATACAAATTATTCATTCATTTGTAAGTATTAATTTATTTTCGACACAGTCTACCAGCGTTTAAGCTTGGCAACAAAGCAATTACACAGTCATTAGCGACGTAAATTCCAATTATTTTACAGCAAACGCTTTATATCGTGACATGGTGAATTATTTCAGCAGGAAATATCTATGTATGAATAATGTGTCTAAAACAATTAATCGGATATTTGTTCACAAGTTAAGTAGTTTCGGTGTATTTTTTTAGAAACAATAATCATTAACCATCCATCTATCAAAATACAAACTAGATATGTGTAAGTACTATGGCAACTTAGTTCTAATGGTGGAAGTGGGTGGCGCAATAAAAAATCTGGTAGAACTCCTCAGTCTTGATTTATTTTCAATTAGTATTACATTAGCACACTTACAACCAAAAACTATGATTCTCACTCTAAGCTGGTCTGGATCAGAAAGGGAAGATTGACAACCAGCAAAACACGAACACGCGTATTCGAATATGAAAAAGTAATAATTTAAAATATTAACGGCCAGCATTGACCATAAACCGTCCGAAGAGTAAACCTGCCTATAGTAATGTGCTCGGACGTTACAGTACTGTGAGTAATGTATAACGCGTAACATGACACGACCTCGTACTGTAACAGTACGTTATTACCCGATAAAATTAAGCGTGGCACATGACGCTAAACATGGCATGGCATCATACATGACATCGACATATTGTAGTGTAATACCACTGATAATACTATCGGGCGCTCCCGGCGCAGCAAGGAGTACTGTCATTTTCGGCTTAAATAAAGAAATGACGAATTAGTACTTATTAGCTGTAGTTAAAAATGTATATATTAAGCAATAAACAAAAAAGCAAAAAAAGAGTAAAAAATGAAAATTAATATAAATAATAACTCGTATGTGAAAACATAATCATTATAGATAGTTGATTGGCTATGAAATAAGAATAAAACTATTCAGTACAATTACAGGTACACAATTTTACATGAATGTTCATCGGTCTGGCTGCCTGCTACGTAATAGCGAGTAGTACGCATAGCGCGCCATCTAGAGTACAGAGTAATGCTTTTATGTCATATTGTCTTAGCAAAAATGGAAGTAAACTTGTAGATCCACAGAAGGGTAGAGAATAGGTATAATGTTCAATTTTGTATAAATAAATGCTTAAAAAAGATAAAGAAAAAAGGGAAACTTTTACAATTAGAGGAGGAACTTATAACATTCAACAAGTAATAAAATAGTATAAACGGGTAAAACATCTATAACAATCATTATAGCTCTACAGATTATGAATAATGCTGATGAATTTAGAAAAGCTCTCCGACATTAGGAATTAAATTGATCAAACCAAAATCAACCACAATCGACCTAAACTACGATAGACTTCCAACTTAGTGGTGAATACTGAATCGAGAACTTTGATAGACTTCCATCACTTAATCAATGGCTTCATGGACAGTTGAAGTTTCACAAAGCACTCGCTAGATTAAGATTAAATTAGAAATGAGCTTGCAGAGTGCAGTTAAGTTTTGGAGTAAAATCTTTGGAGAAATATTTCCTCAAGTTTAAGATGTTCTTCAGCAAATGAAAATGTTTGAAATACTTCATTTTAGCTATGGTTAAGTTTTCTTTATCTAAAACAACCCTTGTTCTTATTGTAGTATAACATATTAGTTCATAGTTGAACGCTGCATGTTTCTTTGAAATTCAATGTTGTTTAATTGATGCGAAAAGTTTCTCGCCATTTTTAACTTTTGTCACAATAAATATAATAATATACAAGTACTTTTATTAAGCTTTTTAATTAAATCTCATTAGAAAATCTCGGTAAATAAATTGACTAGATTTATTTACTATCTATTTAGACAATTATAACTATAAGAATAATACAAAACGCCAACGCATAGTTCACAAAAGGTTTCGCCGGTGTTGCAGCGATTTGAATCTTGCAAAGGCATTGTTTTATAACGAGTATACGGAGAGCTACGCCTTAAACTTTGTGTGAAACTTAAAAGGTATGTCTTTTGAAGGAGAAAGACTTTGATCTTTATATGTTCCTTTGAGGGGAGTTGTTTTAATGCCCTGAAATTATAAAACGATCCAGCGTCAACTCCTGTATTTAATTATTATTGTTCCTTTGCTTAATTTAAAATAAAATATCATTAACACAACTTGAAGACGCTTATTTCTATTAAATGAACCAATTAATTTTGACCTTTATGAAGAAAAAGTCGTGATAATTTAAAACTTACTCAAATATTATTTAAATATTTACGATCAAAGTTTAAATTAAAAACTTTCGTAATTATAATTAAAACGATTTTCGAAGTCAATTCAACATCATGTTATAACTTATTCATGTTTCGTTATTACGTTAAACTAAGAGTTAAAAAAATAAAGGCTTTGCAACAAATACATATCCCTAAGGACATTTATTCAGTATTAATTTTTAACATTAATCATTTATTTATAAGGAAACAAAAATTTACACTCTTTTTTAAGAAAATTGTAGGGACCAAGAAGTATGTTGCACAAAGCTAGACGAACACAAAATAACACTAATGTGCAGCTTGAATTCTAATAAATAATCAAAATTTCATACCTCTGGGTTTATAGTGGGTGGCATCAATATCTTCTTTTGTGGCGGTGATCGCAGCACCACGTTCTCATCTCTGATTATAATCTGTGGCTCCATCGCCAAAAGCTTCTTCTTACACTCTTGCATTTGGAGGCATTCCTTGTCTTTCTTCGACAATACAGATTCCGATGAGGCGTGCTTCGACGAACACATAGACGCATTCTTACTCGACAATTTCAAACTGTCTACCGAAGCTGTCCTCTTGGAACTTTCCTTACCGTTCGAAGACGCCATCTTTGTCGAAAATTTGATTACTTTAGCGAGTTCACGAGGGGTTTCACAAGGCACAACTCTCGGGCCGACACTTTTCTCTCATGATTGTTATTATAACTTTGATCTTCTCGTTTTGAACTTCACACTGTTTGGATTGCACCTAATTATTGTTTGAGCTAAGAACTTCGTTATTTCATAAAGAAAATAATTTACGCAATCATTTCTTTTATGTTAAAAATGTGTATTTTCTAATTTAAATAGAATATAAGAGTTTAAATTAACATTTTTGCAAATAGTCCACTGACATACAAGATACTTCTAATAGTTATTAGGGCAACGAAAAACCTCAGTCAATTCTTACTTTTAATTTGTAAATAGTGAGTTTACGTTTATTATGGTTAACTAATAACGAAAACAAGAAACCGAATACCTCTTTTTCCTAAGCCTTCATGTTAAAGCATTGGCGTTGACATCTAAGTTGACAAATGAACATCTACCCTCGCAATGACGCAGCGGAAAATGTCAGCTCCAAGCCAACTACGTAGAATATTGACATTTTTATTCGGTTTTAAACCATGGAACAAACTAAATAAAAAATGATGTCATTTATTAAATTAATCTCGATGATTTTTGAATTTTCATTCACGTCGAAAATCGTACAGTTTGAGTTATCACTATTATAAATTTAATTATCATAGACAAAAGTTAATAAATGAGTGAGCTGGAAATAATGGAAGCATGTTCTTTTGTGATTGTTTCACCTTTGTTATAGGACATAAAACAAGCGACTACTATAGTACATTCCACTCGCATCCATCATGTTCCAGACATTTTTTTATTGCGAGGCAGTGAGATATTGCTATCTAAGTGGCACTACTTCAGTTTGCTTGTTCACGAGTCACGTTCAGGACACGTCGACACATGTCACCTATCCGTAGATATTTTCTTAATTGATTATATTTTTCCTTTTCTTGTATCGTATAATAAACGCCGTGGTGTTAAAACTTGACGTTAATGTTTTTCATAGTTAGGATAAGAATATCAGTTTTTAACATTTAATTTCTCAAAGTAAAACGTAGTGTTAAAGGGAAATCTATCCATCGATCCTCTCGCTGTCAGGAGGGTTGATCAGTGATCAGACCAATCCATCCATTAAACAAGACAAAGTGCTCAGATTTTTTTATTGAAATTTTTCCAATAATAGATTTCTTTCGTTGTATAATATAATTAATTATCTACACAGTAATGTGTCAGTCAGAACCGATACGAGGTGGAGACTGTTCAATATAGAATGATTGATGGTGGTATTTAGGATTAGAGTTATAACACAGGTTTCGGGTCGATGACATAACAGTCTAATCAACTGCGAAGTGGATTATAAATGTTGTTGATTTTAGGTCTCGATGGTACAGTAGTCGGAGGGTTCGGTAGCGATTGCGTACGTTAAGGAACTATCACGTAGGTCAAAAACAGTATAGGTGACCAAGAATTTTTCTTTTAAATTCCACCGTATTTCAGGCCCCTCAAACCGTTTGTTTGCAGTCGTCAACACTCAACAATCCGGATTGGAGCCGCGTGGTAGGTTATGGCCCGATTTATTAATAAGATATTTAATTTACAGGGGCGGTCCGAGACCCTGCAGTGGCGGGAACGTGCGCCAGGCGATAAATGACAGTGGTAAAGTTTGATTTTTCATTACTTTAGTTATCAATGGACAAATACATATACATAGACTTTTATGAATGAAGTATTATCTTAAGTAATGTTTAAATATTAGTAACTCATAATTTGAGCAATATAAGAACTTATGTGATAGTTTCTATTATAGGAAATTGTGTTTGGTCTACATTCTTTTATTTGCATTTAAAGTCACCCAATTATTAGATAACATTTTAAAATAAACAAATTAAAGTGATTGTGTAAATTATTTTCATGAAATGACTCGCTTACATCTCTACTGCAATTACTGATGACGCCAAATAAAGTATCATAAATCTACACTTTAAGTACTTTTATCGTAAAACACATATAACTTAACATAGTTTATTAAATATTATTCAAGATTCTAACACCAACACTTATTAAATAGTAATGTTCATTCACACTTGCATTACACAATTTTCTAATTGTTTCTATGTTTTATAGTTACGTCTTCATTTTGTATTATTTTCAGGACACCATTACGCGTTCTATAGATTCGCGAATATTCGTAAACGTTCACGACTCTATACACGTCCACACCCGAGGACGACCGGCGTCTCACTGACTGTTTCATTTAGCCACGGGAGGCGCCCTGTACCGATTGCAGATTAAATCAATGTAAAAAATTATTATTATAAATATTAGACCACATCATATCATATTAAAAGAAAATTGGGTCAAACTATGGATTTATTTATTTTATTTATTTATTTATTAAGATACAAAACAGGACATAATTAATACAAAGCATAACTTGTTATTTATCTTGCAAAATCCAATTATACCCAATAATATGTATCTCTAGCATGGTTAAAATGGAGCAGCCATAAAGCTAATGATATTAATTTTAGTCCAAGTTGAACTTTGCAATATAGAAAAACAGTGTGATACAGATAATTATGTTAATGTTGATTATGATGACATAATTCTTGAATTAAATAGTGACATTACTTTCTTTTTGAATGAATATCTGTTACCGTCGAATATATCTATGTCATGATTAGTTTGACTTATCTCATTGTAAAGGCGGCACATACGGATGATTGGATTATAAAAGGATATGTTGTTGCGGAAAACTTGCAATGAAAATGTTTTTGGATTACGCGTTCTGTAAAAAATGTTGAAATTTATGGAGGATAATAAGGATGGTGACTCGATGTATGAATGAATTATTTTATGCAAATGGATCAAATCACTTTGCTTTCGTCTATCTTCCAGGGTCGCAACATTAAACCTAGAGAATCTCTCGTTGTGAGATTTTAATTTACGAGATAGACCTTTTATCCGAAACTAGTAGGCAGTAAGGCAGCATAATATCCGGAATCGAATAAATGACAAAAAAAAGCATTTTCTGCATTGACTTAATCAAACCTCAGAGATGGCGATATCTTAAAACCGGCTGCGAGCCACTCACCTACGGAGGATTATAAAAAGTTCTGTTTAGTGTTATTGTTTACTCGTATTTAATAATTAATACTCGAGTACGGAGATGATAGTTTAAATAGTAACAAAGAAGTATGACCCGGATGGCGCCTTCATTATCATTAGTCTATTAATATACATGATTTCCTCCATGAATTCCACACGTAGTACACGCTACAATTGTCATTAATGTGTAAACCTATTAAGGTTCACAGATAGAGCGAAAGAACAAAAAGCATTTAAATGAAACCACTAGGTTAAAGCTTATTAATTTCTATACAGTTTGTAGTGATAGCGGGCAAAATAATAATTATTTATTTATAGAATAACAGAGATTCAAATTACTCTATTACAATTGTTGTGAGCTTACAAACTACATTTTGCTTAATAATACGACCCAAGAACTTTTATAAAAGATCTTATTATAGGAAAATCATATTAATCTGATATTGTCCCCGGGAAAGTGTTATTGTTGAAAATTTTCGTAGACTTATATTTGTTAAGATTAATTTTTGTATGGCGAAAAACATGTTTTATATCAATCAATCATCAATCATCAGCCCTATTACGTCCCCACTGCAGGGGCTCAGGCCTTCCTTATGGATGGTTAAGGAGGATGGGCCATGACCCTCCACGCTGGCCCAATGCGGATTGGAGGGTATTAACGACTGCAAATGCAGCCGGGACCAACGGCTTAACGTGCCTTCCGAAGCACGAAGTAGCTCGAGATAATAATTTTTTGGTCACCTATCCCGTGACCGACCCTTGCGAAAGTTGCTTAACAACAACGATCGCGGGCCGCGGCGCTTATCCTCTACGCCACCGAGCTAGTTATGTTTTATGTTTTATATAATTTAAACGAATTAGCACTTCACCTCTAGTACTAAAATGCCGTATCCTATAGCTAGACTTATGGTTATGGAGTTAGCCGGTAGCATCCCTGGTTTGCCCACGTTCCCTTTCAACCGCCCCAGTTCAAATGAAGTTTTTTGAGTATGTTATCCTATCCACCTTTGTGCTCAAAATAATTATTTTTCAATTTAGAATTTAGAATGTTTGATGAATAAATTTCTTAGAATTTAATACTTTTTTGTAAAAACCTAGTGTGAGGTATTGATTTTTCAAGTTCACAAAGAAACTACTTATCCAAAATATATCTCCAAGAATATATTTATGAGGTTTTTAAACTCAGTGATTTTGTTACAATTGTCACTAAAACTATCACTGAGACGGCTACCTAGTTGGCCTCCTATGTACCTAAACCTATTTTTATGTTGGGTCATTTTATAATTAAAAAGCTAAAATATTTTTTCCTTTCTTTCAGGATCTATGCAAAAGGGCTAAGCGGATTGGCGAGTGCACAAAAAAAATTGAAACAGCTCGCTCAATGCACATTAATCCTTTGATCCATTATCTACCGATCCGAACTGGCCTCGCAAGGTAGATAATGATTCGTTCTTCCTACTATACATCCATCTATAGGAAAGACCTTATATATGACCAAGCATTTATGAATGATCATGATCTTCACGAATATCGAACAGGAACAGTACGTGACGTTCGACGAAGTATTGTTAGTTGAAGTTTAGATATCAGAAATCGACCTCCTTTCTATCTTCAGGCCGGATCATTATTCCAAATTTATAATATTACTTGACGATATAAATGCAAAAGAGAAATTAAGAATACTTCATCATAGTTTGTCATCGCGTTTAAGTCATAAGGTCACTGTTTGAGGGTGTGAGTGACATAAAAATTAATACATACGATGAATTTTAAATTAAATACTTGTCTTAAATCGCAACATTTAAAGTTCTAGTACACAAGTACGATATGTTTGAAAAGATTTAACAAATTCGTAAGGCTCGTAAACCTTTCGGTAATATTTTTTTTTGATGTGTTTTAATTGTTCTTACAACGACCAATGTTTACTATTAGTTCCTAATGGCTAAAGTTACAATACTGTTGGTCCATATATTTCTATACCGAATCATTCCTCATATATATTTGTTATTCCGTCATATCCACTAGCTGAACAATAAGAAGCCACGACGGACAAACTAACGTTCCATTCGCAGCCATTAGTAATGGTATCTGATAGTGATGATATCTATTCGATCGAGGGTGGCGACGACGCGGCGAGGGCGGGCGGTGCCGTCAGCAGAAAAGATGTGAATTATTCTTATTTTAATAGTAAAAGTCTATGTGGACACTTGTAATGTAACAATGACAATTTAACATTGTTTTGTTATTCACTGATTATTTCGTATAGTTAAACAATCTGAACTGTTGTTATTTCATTTAAATCGTTTAGATAACAAATATGAACTAAAAAAAATAATTAAATTTGTTTTACATAAATTCCTCAATAAAAAACTAGAAGTGGTTTTTTACCTTTCTGACTAGTGATCCAAAATATATATATAAGAAGCCCGAAACGGTTTGATAAAACAATAGTATTCACAAAAGGTAGAATTCACACAGGATTTGGGCAAAGCGTCTTTAAAAAATTTCGCAAACTATCCGGATACCTTCCACTACTAGTTTTGGGTCGCTTGAGACCCGAGGTAAAGAAAAGCTGGTTTATATGATCGGTCTTTTATCCCTATGTCTGTCAAAACAATTTTTGTAGAAACATAGTTTGAATATCAAAGCAGTTTTTTTTTTCAAAATGCTTCTTTAAGATTCAGTAAACACAGGATGTGTGTAAAATTTATCATTGTATTCTGTGCACTATTATTTTTTTAATTTATATTAATGGTTCATACTTTTTAAGCTCTATGGTAAAAAATCGCTAGTAATCAACACTCTTTCTCCATATAAATCTTAACTTCGTTTAATGTCATACATGGTCTCAAGGATTTTCGTAAAAATGGATTCAGAGTTTTTCTTCACGTAAAATGTGTACCTTTATTTTTAACGGAAACCTCATTAGGGCAGTACTTTTGTTAAAATTCGCTTTTAAGCTCAAGGGATAAGCATTGCACGATTGCGGCTTATGGAATAAATGTGTTTGTATGTACTTTCAAGCAGCCTCCATTAAATATGTATTAAGTTTACTTACGAATTCTGTGGAAAATAATCTGAAGACTTACCTGGAAACGAGAAATATTAATTAGTACTTATATCCGACACATGAAACAGAAATTTATATTATATTACGGCTAATGTTGATGATACTTTCGTAAAGTCGTTAGTGAATTAAGATCTGCAATTGCGAATGTTAAGCAACAACGATGTTGTTGACGTACCGATCGGGTGCTTCCATTTGTATATCCATTTGATATAAATTAAGGATTCGATATCGGACATTCGATATTATTATTATTCAGTTACAACAAAACATATATGAGCCAAATAAAGCCTTTAGTTTCATACATATGTATACTTAACATAACGGAATCGGTAAATCTATAAATATTTATAAAACCTTGTCGGAAGAAAATATCATAAACGACCCCTTAAAATTCAACATTATTTCCATTTCTTGTTTTGATTGTACTCTTTTTTTAAGGATAATATTATTTTTAATGAATTAAAAATAGCCGAGATAGCAGGTATATTTACAATTAATTAAAAACTGTTTTTGACGTAATTAGCCGTCCTCTATCTTTCATATTCGTGAGAATAAGGGGTCTTAACTGATTTTTAAGATATGTAGGCGATTATATTACTAGTTATGAGTCAGAATTCAAATTTCACCAAAATTTCATAACATAGGAAAGCTAAAAGGTACGTTATATACGAGTCAAGTTATTGAATTATTGTTCAGTAACATCACTCATCGTCAGTATTATATCACTCATTCCATTATTCACAACTGACAGGTAACAATATTGGCAGAGGAAACAATATCACAAATACAGTAATAGGTGTACTCGTACCTACATGTTTTTTGCTGATGATCCTTTCACTTAAATCATCATCATAGAAAAATATACTCTATTGAAATGTGTTTTTTTGAAATATATATTTAAAAATATCATTTTAAAACATATGTTTTTTATAATATATATCTATATATTAACGCTAAACGCAATACTCTTTTGGGCAGTCGTGTAATAAATAAATAAAAAACGCAACAGGTGGCAGTCGTGTAAAAAAAAAAACGGTCTAACACTACTCCTTTCATGGTGAAAAT